AGAAAGAGAGATCTTTATGATTCTTCGATATCAAGGAACGTTATTGCACGCACGTTTACGAGAAACGTGAGCCTTGTTTTCTTATGACGAGTGAAATATATTCGATATCGAAGATACATTCGACCGATATCGATTGATCTCATGTATTATCGATTTTGCCCACGTATTTGCTTCCCCCTTACACTTCCTTTCCTTCCTCACGTTTTTGTTCTCTTACTTTTCATTTCTGGCGCGTTACGATCCTCCTGAATTCTTCGTTGAGTTTTGCACGACCCTTTACGCTGATAGAATTTCTCAAAGTGGAATTAACTATAAAAGAACTCCTTACAATTTTCAATAGAGCGTCTAACTTTCCTTCAACTTCGATGATTTTTTTCTCTTCTTTTTTCTTTTTTTTTTTTTTTTTTTTTTTTGGTACTCTTTATGTAATCAAATGCCAGTTTAACTAACGGCAGAGAATATGGTTAGTTCGTCGAGTATTCGTTTATTTCAAAAAGAAAAATCGCCGCCATCGTCTTTATAGAAATCGCCAAGTTGTTCTTTATAAAAGCATTTTAAAATTCACTTTTTTCTTTATTTTTTATTTTTTTTATTTTTTTTTTTTCTTTTTTTTTCTCCTTAGAATTTAAATTGTTACGCAATAACAAGAAAGGATTTTTTTCAATCGAGAAAAGGAACTGTTATGTCCGATGATATTATTATTAATCTATATTATGAAATATTTGCACGTAATACACGTGATAAAATGAAAGAAATTTTACTAGAATATTTTCAATCGGAAATAAAAGTTTAAAGATATGATTCTGAAACAATATCATTCAAATGATATCGTGAAATACGATTTCGGTAAAAGTAATTATTTACATTGACGCAAATGAGAATAAAAACTCAAACGAATAATATATAAAAATTATTTCTATAAGTAATAAATGATTTATGAGTTTTAAGTAAAACATGTGAGAATAGATGTCGTTGAAGATGAAATTTAAAAATATATCACATTTTTTTTATTTTTTTTTTTTTTTATTTTTTTTATTGTTTCTTTCTTTATTTTTCATCCCTTTGAAAGAAAGGAAAAAGAAAGGAACTCAAATGGCTATCGTAAGACATAATAAACAATACAATATATTGACCGTATGTCGAATACTTTTTTTTTTTTTTTTTTTTTTTTTTTAATAAATAACATGAGCGTTTGTTCTCTTTCATATCATTCTTGGCTCTTTTAATACTATTTTTGCAATATACAAACAATTATTCGAATAGTTCATATTCCCATATGCAATGATTTCCCGTAAGAGCCAATATCAATATCAACATTTCAACGAAATATATATAGAAAGTGTAAACATTGAGAGATAGGATTATTTAATTGTGCACATGAAAAAAAAATCCGGATATCTACGTTTTTTGTCAACAAATATTTTCTCTTTCTCTCTCTCTCTCTCTCTCTCCCTATCTATCTGTCTATCTATATGTCTATCTATCTCTCTATCTCTATCTCTATTTATTTATCTTTCTTTCTCTCGTTCACAGTTTATCAATCGAGTTTCGTAATCGAAAAACTCTTTTTTTTTTCTTTTTCCTAAAATTTACGTAAATTAAAAATAGGAAGTTTTATAAAAATAGATAGTATCCGCATAGAGACGTGTAACAAAAAAGAAAAAAAGCTGTGCTCTCTTTTGTGCGTTATTTTTGTTATTACGTTCGAAACGTCAAAAGTTTTTCGAGAGAGACCAGTCTAGTCATACCGGAATAGAATGATATTTTTTCCTTCGTCTCTGCCTCTAGCCTTCAACTTTCCAACGTGACTGAAACGCGACATTTTAATTGAAACGAATCACCGATGCGAGAAATTCGTCGCCGTCAAAAGCAACGTGGATATAACATGTGTCGACTGGTTTACCGAGTTTCAATATTTCATTTAACAGGATATTCATACGATAAAAAGTATAGTATTTAATGTCTAATGTCAATTTCAATAAGATCTTGAGCACCATCCATTCTATAAATGCATTAGCGAAATTCTATTGTCGTTCACTCGCTGCCCCTACCCTTTCTCTTTCTCTCTCTCTCTCTCTCTCTCTCTCTCTCTCTCTCATCTTCATCGAAAAGCGTTTCGTGTTTTAACGTGAGAGACTTTTGAATTTTATCGATTTCATGATCGTTCCTCTGTCCAATCACTCTTTTCATATAATATGTTAGTATCCATATATATCTATACACTCCAGTAAATTTATAAGTCGCTATTAACCGAAATTGATTTTCTCGACACGCTAACGAGCAAAATGGAGATCGGTATTTACCTTCGAAGTTAGGTCGTTACAGCTCTTTTGCGGTGAGATCGAACGAGTTATTTTAGATCGAAGGTTGTACTTGCTTGCAAGTTCAAACACGATAATAAACCAAATATACTTTTTCTTGGATAATCGATCGTTTTATGAATTAATCGTTGTATACTACTATTGATTAGAAAACTCGGTTGGAATCCACATGTAGTTTTAAGTATTAGAGAAAAAAAAATAAAAAAGAAGAAAGAAAATTTAATTTAATAAGAGCAACGTACGATTTAAAGTTGATGACGAATATACCAGTTACATCCTAAACGAATAGGTATTTTCATCAATGAAGTATGCAATTATAATTATTTGATCGCTTCGACGATGATAATGGGAATAAATTAAGCGCGCAATAATACAGCTGCGAAATCATAATTAGTATCCACATATGATGGATGATCGTAACTAACTTGCGTGTTTACAACTGACAAAAATGCAAACATTTCACAAGTGAATTTTAAGTCTTATAGAGAAATATTAATTTATTTTTGACGAATAACATAAAATATTTTCTTTGTAAAACCTGACAATATATTATGGAAAGAAATTTATGTTATAAAAAAAAAAAAAAAAAAAAAAAATACTTAACGTGTTGCGTTATTAAATTGATTTTAATAACAAATTTTTTCTTTTTTTTTTTTTTTATCGAACGACAGAATAATAAACATAAATAAGAAAAAGAGGAAAATACTCGAATAGAAATAAAAAAAAAAATTGTAGAATTTCTTTATTAAATTTTTGTTTTTTTATTAAATAAAAAATCAAGCAATAAAAATCGAAAGATAAAATCAAGAAATAATATTACATTGATACAATGATGAACGGGACGTTCCTTCTTATTTCTCATCGGAAATAAAATAAATACTTTAAATCGTTAAAGAAATACTTTAAATCGTGCAAAAATTAATTATCGATCCGGATAAGATTCAATTCGAATCTTTGAAGTATCTCATGATTATCTATCCGATTATCTTCAATGCATGGTTATTCTCGATTGGATTCTACTAATTCGAAAAATCTCTATCCATGAGTATCTTCGAATTCGAGCAGAAGTTCATTCTCAAGAAAAAGAGAAAAAGAGAGAGAGAGAGAGAGAGAGAGCACAGATAAGTTATTCGCGGTAATCCATCCCTTTGATCTTTTCTATCTCATTTAACGACATGATAAATTGAAAAATTTAATTTTCCAAGGTATTTAAGATTTCAACGATTATATCTTTCGTTTATAACTGATCACTCATAGAATGATTAATATGAACAGAGTTGTATAAAATTTTGCCAAAGATAAATGATATAAAATCGTTCGAAAGAAGACAGTGAAGAATCAATAGTTTAAATGTCTTATTTAAGCAATATATCGTTTTAATCCTCTCTCGATAAAAGTATAAATATTTTTAAATGTTTTATTTAAATGTGCGCGACAATATCAATGTTGTAATTAATTTTTAAAGATATTTAAAATTTCGAGAATTCCCTCTCTTTTTCTCTCCCTCCCTCTGTCTCTCTCTCTCTCTTTTTTTTTGTCGATTTAACTCGGCTTATCACTCATTGTCAGTGCAATAAAAAAAACTATATAAAATCGTTATCACGAAAATCGTATAAAAGCATTCAAAAGAGAATTATGGAATAAAATAAAAAAAATTCAGGTAGAGAATAAATCGGATTTGAATGTTTTATTTACAAGGAAATTTATATTTTTCATTGGTTCCGCACACGTTCCGCACGCGTGCATCGTATCCCGGGTGATAACGTGCAAATGCGAATGCGTAGCTCGTCGTGTTCGTAAAACACGACCTTCGTTTATTCGATCAGGAGTTGGATTCGGTACAGCTACTGCTCAAGTAATAGGTGGAAGGGACAGATGTGCATGTTCGGAATCGTTGAAAGCAAGTCGATTCAATTGAAATATCAGCTTATTTACGGATCGCTGAGATGCATTGACGAATCCAATAAAATCGCGAAAGCTCGGCGTATAACGCTTCAACAATTTCAAGGATCTTCCAAGCTTGGTGCTTTTATTGCACGAAACAAGCCTTTTTATTCACATGCCAATTCGATTTGAACAGATAATGTGAAAAGATATCATGCGGTAAATTAAAACAATCAAAATGATTTTTCTCAAATTCGTGATATCGGTTATTCGAACGATCTCTTATATCCTTTATATTTTATATTTTCTCTCTTTATATTTCATCCGCTTATCTATGAAATAATACACGAGATTTTACAAGCAAAATTATTCATGATTATAAACCATTTTATTTAATTCTCTAATTATGGCAATTTCTAAATTGTTTTCTCAACGATCTATCTTATCCACTTCGACGATACTTAATGATCGTGTTGTTGATCGTACGTGATACTATTCCCGTCTTTTAATGAAGAGAAATTATGAGCTACCATCAAGAATAGGTAATAAAAATTGACAGGATCGTAAAAAAGTATACGAGCTATAATAATGAAACATAATAACTACAATAATAATGAAATTGATTTAAATATGTCGACGATATTATTAATATGATCAATCGGATAGGAAAAAAATTCTTGTTATTTCAATGAAAGATGTATACTTTTTCTTTGCTTCGTCGTGAAAAAGAAAAGAAAAGAAAAAAAAAAAGAAAGAAAAAAGGAAGAAAATGAACAGAAAAAAATGTCTTTACAGATCAAAGGTTAAGCGAAATTTCATCGACATCAAGAAAGCTATGTGCCAATTCAGCGGAAATGTACGGGTAGGAACCATGAGCTCATGACCCAAGAAGACCTGATTCATGCGTCTAAGAAGATAAAGGAAAAGAATGACTTCTCTATCGTCGACAGCTCGCCAGTATATCTTCCTTTCCTATGTCTGACTTCGCACCTTTGCCTTGAATTTCTTGGCGTGTCTGGTTACTTTCGAAAATTTTCTCCACACGTTTTCCTTCTCTCTCTCTCTCTCTCTCTCTCTCTCTACCTTTCTCTTTTTCTCTCTTTTTTTCTCTTGTCAACTCTTTGACATTTTCCTCTATGGAGATGAATCGTTCCAAGATCTACTTACAAAATTTATTACAAAATACATTGGAATTTATTTCGAGAATATCAGTATTACTTTAATGAGAATTTTGTCGTATATTTCAACATATAAATATATGTATATATATATATGTACATATATATATATATGTATATATATATATATTTATATATCTTATATGTATTTATATAAAAAGAAGAAAAAGAAATTAGTTATTTTTATTAAACGTTTAAGAGTTCCTTTTTTTTTTCTTCAGTTCACTCACGAGAACGAGTAATTATCATCATCCGGAAAAATGTATAGTCGGGTAATACATCAACTACGGTAAGAAGTTATATCGAATGGTTGTTCAATCAAGAAAATTTAAATCTACTTAATGGACGTCTAGCGAGCTTGTAACGGAGACCGACGACGAGAGTTGCACTAGACACGCGAACTCGAGATCTTTGAGCACGATAAGTTAGTCGTCGAATAAAAGCATCGAAACTACAACGAACGACGGCGATTTGCATTTCCCGCCCTTTTTCACGAACGATCGTGATGTTTTCCATGACAAATCTTCCGGCATCTTATAAACGATTCAGATTGTTTCGTATGAAAATCGAGAGGAAAAAAAAAGCACAATTTGAATTTCTCTATCTTCATTTATATTTATAGAAAATTGTAAAACAAAAAAATATGAAATTTTTAAGATAAATAAATTAAAAAAAAAAAAAAACAAAAAAATATCGCTGAAACGATAAAAATGATTTTACAAAAATCCCTCGATACTTTTAATATCCTTACGTACATTGTTTAAAAATAAAAATATTTCTCATATCGAGATATAATAATTTTCGTTCATCATCATAATTTTATAAATACCAATAAAAAAAAAAAAAGCAAAAAAATCGAGCATCAATAATCGTTGATATTCTCACAATAATCCAAGTTTTTAATACACATACACATGTATACAAAACTTTAACATATCTACCGATGTCACAAGAGATTTCCGATACTTTCGTTCAGATTCCGATACTCACATTGCTTGAACAGAAATCAGAGACAATCTATAATTCCAAGATAAATATACAGATGCGTCCAAATATTTATCATCTCAGATTCTAACAATAGATAACAAATATACTTTTCGAACAAATGAACTGTGGTTTGTTCGATTTAAGAAAATAATTGATAATATCTAATCGATATGGATAGGAACGATTGATAAATTGAACTATCCCATCGAATTTACATAATGATTTCGTTTGTGTTTGTTTAAAAAATTAATCAAATAGATCAATATTTTGTTAAGACAATAATAATATTAAAGGAAATGTTTTACGTCATTTATAAATGATACGTAATATAACGTTCGACAATCGAATGGATAGATTAATTCAAGATAAAAATATGCTTTTCAGTTGACGTAAGAGAATGAAAGGACAAACTAAAACGGCATTGGATGATATCGGAATTTACTTTTGAAGAGTTGAGAATGAGAGTAAGATATATGAGTAGTTTCCGATGAAACTCGAAAATCAGAACAGTTAATAAAATAGATGAGATTGTTAAGTGTACCTTAGGTGATCATTTGAACCGACGTATAATTCTTTTAAAAAAAAATAAATAAAGAATCGTACGAATAACTTCACGTTGTGAAATTCGATAAATTATTTCCTATATATCGTGTTCGTTTCATCAATAGAATCGAAAAATACAATCATGAAATCCGTTTACTGCAAATTTATCGATCCTCATTTCATCATTTCGAACGATATGGCAAAAATAAAAGAAATAATAGAAATTTATTTAGATACGATTTTAAAGTAATTAAAAGATAGAAAAGTTGGCGATTGTAAGAAGAAAAAAAACAAAAAAAAAAAACAAAAAAAAAAAAAGAAGTAATTCAATTTAATTTGAGATAACTGAAAACGGACAAATTGGATTTGTAGGATGCTCGTGATTTCAATCGCATCGACAATTAAAAGTTTCTCGTAAAGCTCGATCGACCATTCCTTTTCTATCGCTTTTATAGATACATCTTAACTTACTACAATGTAACTATTTCGTCGTTTAATATTACACATCGTATAAATAATTTTAATTTTATTTTACATATAAAGTAAAAATATATCATTAAGTATTAAACGATTGCATTAGTTACGTA